TTTTTTTTTTTTTTTTTTTTTTTTTTAAAAAAAAAAAAAAAAAAAAAAAAAAAAAAAAAAAAAAGAATAAAAACTAAAAGTGTTGTTTTTTCTAAAATTTTAATTTAAAAAATTTTATGGTAATATTTCATTTAATAATTCTATAAAAAACAAATATAATATATTATTTCTACTTTCATTTTCATACTTCAAAAAAAAATAAATATTAATAAAATATCTTTAATAATGAACCTTCTTAATAAGGTTTTATCTTAAAAGGTTTTTATTATATCAACTTTTTATAAAAAAACAACTTGGTTTTGTAGAATAATTAATAGAAGTAATTTTATAACACACAATATTTTCAATTTTAATTTTTGTTTATTATTATTATTGTCAATATGGAATATAATAGAAGTTGTGATTTTACAAAATCTGAAAATGACAAAAAACATTTAGATAATATAACTCACATATTTGACAAACATATAATATTATTAAATACATATATTTATATATATTTAATGAAATATTTTAAAAAAATAAGATTTTTTTTAAATTCTGATGAAATTAAAAAAATATATATATGTGATTTGAAATATAAAATTGAAAAATTGTATGAAAATTTAAAAAATGTAAACAATAATGAACAATGTAAAAATGATTTAAAAAAAAATTTAGAAAATCAAATTAATACAATAAAAAATAATATCATAGAAGAAGACTCCAATATTAATAATATTAGTAAATGTAAAGATGGTATAAACACAAATAATAGAGATAATAAAATATTTATAAAAAATGATGAAATTTTTCTGATTTTTGAAAATGTTGATAAAATAATTTTTGATACATTTCTACTTGTTAGTACAAATGATGAAAATATAAAATATCCTTATAATTTAGTAAAATTAAAAATAGAGATTTATTTTGAAAACCTCTTAGTTAATATATATTCGTCTGAATGTATTTTAATTGATAAAAAATGGGATTATGACTTAAATACACTTACTACTTGTGAAAAATACAATAATATAATGGATATAAATAAATTAGAAATAACCTTTAAAAAAAACAGTATAGATGAAAAAAGAAATACAATCTTAAATCATCTAGTTAACCATATAAATATGCATTCACTAAATAAAGAAAAAACTTGTGAAAATGGTTTACAATATATTTATAATGAATTATTTCAGTTAAAAATGTTAACATGTTATGATAATATATGTGATATAATTAAAAGTATAGACGATTTTTTTTACCTTTTATTAGAACCTGATTTTTATAATTTTTCTATTCAAAAAGTAAACAAAATTTGCTACAAAAATTTATATGATCAATATAATAATGTTATGATAAAATCTAAGACTGTTAAATTAAATAATGAGATGATTGAATATTTATTAAGCGATTCTATATTTTTACCAAATTATGTAAAAAGAAATAAGTTTAAAAATATAGAAGAACATTTATATTCTTCATTTTCTTCTTATTCTGAATGTTCATCATCAATTGAAAGTAGCAAAAAGAAAAATATGTCATCAAATAAAAGAAATGGAATAAAAGAAAATGAAGTGAATTATATAAAAGATAGAACTTATATGAATGATAAGAAAAATTATGAAAAAAATAACATGAATGAAATAAATAATGATTTAAAAAAAAATGAACAAGAAACAGAATCTTCATTTTCTAAAGAGATATCATATGATGAATCTTGTGAAAATTCTAGTTTAAATAGTAGCGAAGAAAAAGAAGAAAAGCAAAAAAAAAAAAGCAAAAAAAAAAAAATGCGTGATTTATTTGATAATAAGGAATTTCGAAATATTCTAGAAAAAATTAAAAAAAAAATAGAAAAATTAAATAATAGTGTTTTTTTAAGAGTAAATTATAAAAATCTAAAATCAGGTTCTTTTGTAAATAATAACACATTAGAAGTAAATACTTTATATGATGCCTTATTAATATTAAAAAGTTCTACTAGTATTTATAAAATATTAAAAGAAAATAAAAATGAAGATAATTACTTAATTTTATCTAAATATGTAAATATTAATATTTGTTTTTTATTTGAAGTATATGTTTATAATAAAGAAATAATAGCTATATCGCAAAAATATTTAAATTATTATTTTGATTTTCTTAAAGAAGCAAATTTTATTATTGATACAATAAACCTCATAAAAAGTTTTTATGAAAAATATTTGAAAAATTCATTTCCATGTGATGATTATATACTACAATTATATATACACACTTTTAAAAAAACACACAAAAAAAAAATTTTTTTAATAAATGCAAAAAATTGGCTATTTAAAAATAAGCATCCTATATTTACAAATACTTTTTTAAAACATTATATTTACACTGGTAATAAAGGAATAGAAATAAAAGACGAATATTATAATCAGAAAAATATATATAAATTTATTTCGAACTCTTCACATTTAAACACAAATGAGATAGAGCAAAAGGAGAAATGTAATAATACTTTCAACGAAAATGTACATATTTCTGATTTTTTTCAATATGATAATATATTATATTACTGTATAATGAAAAATGATTCTATATATAAAAAAAACTTTAATATTTATCCGAAGGTATGAAATAAATAGTTAATTCATTACATTATTTATTAAGTGTAATTAATATTTTTTATTTTATTTTTTTTGTTTTTTCTATCTTTTCAATTTTATGTAATATTATGTGTAAAGTTTGTTTCATTTACAATTTTTATTTATTTATTTTAATATATATTATTTTTTTTTTATATTTGATATATTTATGTCCTATATAAATTTATCCTTTTATTATTTTTTTTTTTTTTTTTTTTTTTAAGGATTTAAATTATAT